CAGCCAACATGGATTCCTTGTAGCTGTTTCCCAAAATGGCTTGTTTTAGAAGAAAAGTTCTTAAAGCTTGACTTGCTTCTCCTTGCCTGTATTCCATGTACATTGTACTTATTGTGGTTCATGTTTGAGATGAGTGTTGTGGTTTTTAATGAGTTTTTTCTTCTTTCATTTAAAAGAATAACATTCAGCAAATGTTCCAGAAACTCCATGCTTTGTTAAAGGAAGAATTTAGTAATGAAGATTTGCAAATCATAGCTTGTCCTTCAATGGAACAGGTATATATTGAAGCTCTCTGTTTTATCAGTTGCTCTTTCATGTAACTTGCTTTTTTAAACATTGATTTTTTTCATTTTTAGTATTTCCAGTGTTCAGAATCTTTATTTATTTATTATCCCCCTTAATCCTGGATGATTAAACTCAGGGCATTATCTGAACTTTAGGCTCTCACCTAGAAGGGGACTTTGTTTGTTTTTTTTTTTTAAAGACTATCTAATAGATTTTCTTAAACCAAAGTGATGATTGATGTTCCTGGGATTGAGTTGTACAACATTGTAGAAGAGTTTTTCTGTTTCTAGGCATTGTCTTTTCAGAGAGATATCAAAGCCAATGAATGCGCCTTAAAAAAGCCTGTGCATTTGAAGGCAGTCTTGCTTTTGCCAAATATAAAAAGCAGCAACTTCTGCATTCAGGAAGCATGAGAAAGAATTACTAGGGTGCATTTCAAGTAAATTGCATTGGGAAAATGTGCAATTGTTATGGAAGTGTAACCCTACATGGTAGGTAAAGTCTTTAGTCTCAGAGATGATTTGGTTTAAGAATTCTCTCTATTAGGATTCTCTGGCAGAAACCAAGTAGGTTTTGAAAATGTCACTTTGACCTTAGTGGTCTAGGGAATATGGGTAGAATCTTGATTATCACAGGATGCTAATATTTAAACAGGTAAACTAGTTTGTGGTTTAGAGGATGTTTCCTGCAATGAATGTGGCCACAGGAATGTGTGATAACTGTCCTGGAGCACAGAGTGGGACTGATGCACCATAAGGAGGTGGGGTTATCCTAGAGGAGATGGCATCCTCTAATCGTTTATCTGTTAAACCTTAGGATCACTTATCCTACAAACTGAATTGGATGGGAAACCATATTGTAATCTGTAGGAAACAAGCACTGGGTAGGATCCCAAATGTATTTCAGATATCAGAGATGAATGTTACCATTTTTTGCCAGTGTGCCTGTTTTTTTTAATTTCTTGACAACACATGAAGTCATCTTAGAAAATTTGACACAGTAGCTTGTGACTGGTGAAATAAGTAGTCAGTATGGTCAACAACTGCATTTTAAAAAGCCTGTGAGTAGGCGTTTGACTGGTAATTTTGGCCGGTTGTTTTGTAGCTGTCTTCTCCTGACTAATGTGCTTCCTAGGAATCCTGTTTAAAGGTTAAAATATAACACATCAGTTCTGAAACTTAGCTGTTCTGTCTAATGTAGGCTTTCCCTTTGTCTTTCAGGTGAACTTATTATTATCGATGTCTAAGTAACCCAGCAATGAGGCTGCTTGAAATAAGCTTCAGCTGAATGCCAGGCAGTGAAGGAAACACAAAGACATTTACTTGAAGTAGACGAAGAATCCCACTGTGCAGTCCAATCTGCATCAAAACTTCGAGGGGAAAAAAAAAGAAAAAAACCCAGGTTTATTGATTTGTTCAAGGTTTTTCTGTTCATAGGCTTGAGAATTGGGCAGAAGAAAACAAAACAAAAAAGCCTTTGCTGATCACTCTTATGGAAGCTCAGTTACTGCCTTATCCAGATGTTTTCAAAGTTGAAGCCTCTTGTTTTTTGCTTTTTAATGAAAAAACTGGTTTTGCTTTCCCTTAATGAGCTGATGTATGCAATGGGGAGTCACACTTTCAAAGACACTCTGGAAATAAAGTACAGGGAATCAAATGAGAGCAGTAAGAGATATTTGCAAGACTTGGGAGATAAGCACATTGGTATGACAATTTGACTTAAGCAGGCACGCCCTGAGTTTTTCTTTAACTGCCATGAAAATCCTGGTAATCCACCATGTGCTTGAACATAATTCAGAGGTTCTTAGTTGGGAAAACTTTATTTCCCACATGTGAAGTGTTTCTTGAAACACTGGATGTGCTGTTTTTCTTATACTGTTGTGATTGGGAGCTGTGAGGTCTGACCTGAAGTTTTGCTAACCTTCCTCTGTAAAGGGTCTCACCTTCCTCCGTAAAGGGACTCAGATCCTTGGGATTTGCAATCGAAAGCTGTGCAATATAAGTTCTGTTGTTTCTAGGGAACTGCATGCTTTCAGATGCTTTACAGCAAAGCTTAGCATTGAGGTTTTCAGGTACTTAGTTTTAGGGTAGAGTTGGATTTTTGCCTTTCCTAAGATCAGATGGTGGTTTCATATTGTTTAAAGCAGGATCTGAGACTGGAACTTGCACAGCCTTTGTGCCGTGGAGTAAGGGGGAGTGGGGATGCCTGAAATTGGATGTGCAAGGCTGTCAAATCAGCACTGTAAACAGAGGGTAGGTACTCGGTACCTGTTAAACAATGCACGCTGTTCAGTATGCATTTATTGGTGAATAGTGCAGAAAGCTGAATGCTAAACACCTGGGCATTAATGGAATGAAACACTTCAAGCAGCTTCAGGGTGTGTCAGTGTGTAAATCCTTACTGGTCAGCACTGCAAAACAGAAATGTAGTGAGAAACACAGCAGATTTGTTATTTATTTATAAAACCTGTTCTGTACTTCTAAATATGAAGAAATTTCCAGGCACATTGGTGGTATTTTGATTTAATAATTTTCCTGTTATAAATTACATGACTGGAGAACAAGATGGTAGGATTTAAAGCTACCACAAGAAGTGTTGCAGCAGTTGTGCTGAGGTACATAAATGGTACTCTGAGGACCTTATATGACCCCTTAAAAATTGACTAACAAGGAAGAAAACTTGCCCTTTCTCTTTACTTATATAGAAATACAGGCTGTAAAATAATGTCCAGTGCATTGTAATATATGTATATTTGTTTTTTATGAAGTTTTTCAGAAGGACTGCATGGTCACTGTACAGAGTTATGACTGACTTAATACAGACATTGTACAGAAAAGACATGAAGGCTAAACCATGGCAGTAGTCACTTTTGTGGTTGGGATCTTTTTCTCTCTTAGAGTACCCAGACAGCCGGTGGAAAGATTAGAAGAGCAATCAGTTTATACAGCCTGTTTGCTAAGTGAACATTTGTTTAAACATGTACAGTTTCAGATATTTACGTTTACAAATAGTGTAAATACTTTCAAAAGATTAATTTAAGATGCTTTATATTATCTGACTAGAAACTTGCTGTTTTTAATTTTTTTAAATAAAAATGTTGCCTCCTATTTTGGTCCAAGAGTAAAACTTTATTCTGTATTCCGAGGCCTGTCTGTCAAGATAACTGTAATACAGAGACAATAAACATCCTGTAAGCACAGGCAAGTGCATTGCTGAGAAGCGTTCTTTTTTTAGCAGTAAGAGAACTGGGTTTATTTGGCACACATACGTACCTGAGTGCTGAACGTACAGCTAATTGTTAAATTAATGCCTCTTTATGGTTATAATAAAAGTAAATTTATATTTTCTTTACTGACAAGCAATCTTGTGTGACTGAATGGTCTCTTTCCTTACAATTTTGTGAGGGGGAAGAAACCACAACTGTAATACAAAAATATTTTAGCTATTGGCTTTTACTAAGAGAAAACTTGGAAACTGGTGGCAGAAAACCCAAGTATTACTGTTTTTACCTGGTTACTCACAGACTCATCTTCACATAGTTCCTCATTACCACAGTGTTCTTCTGTCCCTTGGTATTGTATCATCCAGAGGCTTGTGGTTTGCCCCCTGTAATGTCGCCATGAAGCTTCCCTTCACCCTCTGTCTTTGACAACGTCATTTGAATGAACTAACGTAAGTAGAAACTCTCCTGTGGAAGTCAGCTTCTGTTTGACAGGTGTGGGGCAGTGATATGTGACTATAGCTTCCTAGAGGCTTGGAACCTCCTAAAGAGGTTTGGCCCTTTGGATTGCATCTCATAAATGAGGTGAATGCCAAAGCAGCTGGCCAGGCATTCACCCTTCTTTTTGTACAACAGTGATGCCTGAGGCATAACCTTACACTGTGGCATGTGTTTTTCAAGCAAAACTAATAGTCCTTTCCTCACACTGCATGTTTGGCATTGACAAAGTGATGTGGGTATGAAAAGGGGAAATGGAAGCGTCTGTGCTGCTGAAGCAACTGCATGTTGGTGACTGCAGGTAGATCCAACTCTTTGTCCACAATTGCTGTTTTCTCCTGCTCTCATGCATTTTCATCTTCTCTGGGTCCTAGACCCAAGCCAACACTGTGGAGCAAATCAGATCTTTGATGTAAAGAGCTCTAAATAGAACAAAAAGAAAACAGAATCAGTTGATCCCTTTCTGAGGTGCCCAACCATGCCACTAAGCCATGGGAGGTGCCATCTACCATGAACTGGAGCCTGGAAACCCCGGAGACATCTCATCTTTCCTCTCTTGGGTTGCTCCGGTCCCTGTACCTAAGCTGCTGGTTGCCATCCCCTCTCCACCAGCCCAGGTATCTCTGGCTGAGAGCCAAAGCAGGCTCATCAGTCACACTTGGTACAACCAGTTCCCAAAATTTCCAGTTCGTTGGCTGTAGGATGAAAGCCATCTGCTTCAGAGTTCTGCGCATTCGCTGTGTAACCCCACTGATCAGACTGTGATCCATCAAACGCTGTCAGCTGAAAGAAACTTGGTGCTACAAGGACCTGATGTACAGATAGGCATTGCGAGCTTGAAAAAAGGGACTTTATTTTCATTGCAAAGTGACTGTTACCACCTTGATGAAGGAAGAGTTGATCTGAAATGCTGATGTAATTGCTTGCTGTGAGCACAGATATCTTCATTTCAGTATTTCATGCAGATATAGAAGATGGTGAAACACAAGGAATGATATCAGTGAGAAAGGGCTTGCCAAAAGTATTGCAACATTGTCTGATTTTTGGACGGCAGGCTCCTGAGCTGAATCTTTTTATACTGGAGGAGGAGCTCGTCTTTGCTTTTTTGCCACTTCAGTAGGTAACTTTTTTCTGGGTCTTTCAACTGCAAAGAGAAGTCCATGCAAAGTGAAAAGTGTTAATGCTAAACTCTGAGGGGAGGCCAAGGGGGAGAGTATCCTGCATCTCTTGTAACCCAGCCTTTCTCACTTATCCATGTAATGTGTCATGGGTGCCCTTTCCTTTCCTGGCCATGGAGCACACTAACCCTTACAGCTGCCCTTTGGAGCTGATCCTCTTCCAGTACATGTACAAAGGGACTGAGGAGCTAAACTCACGACTTGAGCCTGCTCTGGTGGGAGTGGGCTGCCCAGAAGTAGTGGGGCAAGGAAGATGACCTCCTTACCTAACATAGCAATTGGTCCTGAGAAGTCTGAGTTCTGGGGGTCAAAGAGCAGTAGCCAGTGCTTTATGGTTCTGTGTACTTGAAGCCGTGGGTAGCTGCCAACTTTCTGAACAGCTATGGCAGAGGCCTGTTTCCCTTGGTGATACATCTGTGGCCACGTACAGACTATTGCTGTGAGGGCAGTCATCATTTGCACCTGCACCAGGGAAGACAACTTGAATCCTTTACCCTGAGGCCTCAGCCCCCAACCAAGCAGTGGTGACCTGTTGTATTTGCATCCAGTGAAGGACAGGGTTACACATCAGTAGGCTGGGACTGTCACAGTGGCACCGAGCACAGCTGAGCCCTGGCCAGAACAGCATTTCCACCTCCGAGGAAGGACCAGAAGTAGGAAACCTGAGTGACAACAAATACCAGAAGATTCTGGTGTTCCTCTCCCCAGATGTTTGTTTCACGTTAAGTGAAATGCTGTTTAGATAAAATCAGAGGCTTTGTGCTTGTATTGACATTTAATATTAATGTTTTGAAAAGAAACAGTGTTTCAAAATGAATTTGTGAGTCTTATTGTTCTTACCCTTCAGCGACAGCATTTCAATCTCGTCTAAATGCTTTCCTGAGACGAAATTTCATTAGGAGTCACACAGGCAGGAAATTTGGTTTTGAAAAAAATGGTGATTTTTCTGCATGAAAATTTGTGACCAGTCCCAGACAGCAGTCCCAAGCTTATCTCCACTGGGTGGTTTCCCTTCTGCTCTCTGAGGAGCTGGCAGACAGGAGCTGGCCAGGCTGGGCTACCACAACAAGTGCTTGCCTTGAGCAGGGACCCCACACTGAAGCAGACACGATTGCTGTGGCTGGGGAACACTAAGTCAATTTCACCTTAAGCGAGGTTTTAACTGCTGGCAGTTCGGTTTCACGGTGATGGACTGCAAAGGAGGACTGTGAGAGTGGTGTCTGAAGTCATGCCACTTCCAGAGCTTCTGACTGGTCCTTGCCCAGTCCAAGTAGATCCCTGTGCATGGGTCCAGGGTGGCCTTGGGGAGAAACGCACAGATGAATTTAGACCCAATAACTTCCTGGTCCCAAATGCTGTATTTTGTCTGCAACTGGACCAAACTTCCAGTTTTCCATTCAAGAGTCACTTCTGGGACCAACCCCTTCTGGGGCTTGTTTTTGGTGAGTTTTTGCATGCTACAGAGATTGGATGGCCCCTGGGAGAGCAATGTGTCCCTGAAGGTCAGAAAATATCCTTGAGCAGAGCGTGGGTTGTGTGTGTTCCCCTCCTCCTATTGCATATCTGCATCTTTTGAAAGACCTTGGACATGGGAATTCCTTTTGCCCTGGTAGCCTTTATGCTAAAAATAGGTCTTCTGTGCATGTGTGTATGGTCGTGCATGTGGCTGGGTAAGGGAAATGGCCTTGCCAAACTACAAAGGAGAGAGAAAGACAGCGTGTGAGGGAAAACAGCCCATATTTATGCATACAATTACAAATCAATACTTCCTATCTCATGACAACCTGCGTAGATGATTCTGGGTGCTGGAGCATCCCCCTAGCAGTGGCACATGGGGAGTTTTATCATTCACAGCATGTGTTACATTGAGTTTTTCCTGCCTAAGCATGAAGAAGTAGATTCTCACCGGGCTGCAAAAGTGGCTTGGCCTCCCCCAGCGTTACCTTGTGCTGCAAATTTGAAAAAACAGCAGGGAAAAAAAAATCTAACTTTGCTATGATGTGCTACAGTGTGCTTGCCATGGGCAAGCCTGAACCAGTCCATAAGTAGGACAGGCTGTTGGTTTTCTCTTTTCCTCTCATCAAAACTATAATATTCTCTTTACAAATATCAGAGTGGTCTCAGCATTGCCCTTTAGTGCTGGGGGGAGGCTGGGTGGGTTGTAGCAGCCTGCCCCAGCTCAGTGGTGAGCCAGCAGCTGGTGCATGGCTAACACCAATGGGAAGCCTGTGATCCTGTGAGGTCAGGAGAGACCCATAGCAGATCAGCGATGGTTTAGTGCTGCCAGGGATCGCCTTGGTGTCAGGCTGTAAAACCTGGCTGCCGTGTGATGGATGAAAGACCAACATGTCTGCAGGCAAGTGGTAGGACTGCAGGAGTCTGATGGAAGTGTTATTGCAAAAGCTATTTAAAATGATTTGCAACAGCCAGTTAGACATTTAGGATGTCCATTAATTAGACTCAGCACAGGGTGGACTTGTAAAATTGAGATGGGATTTACTGATTACCCCAGACACTAGCTTTCTGAAGTGAAACTTTGGAGACTGGGAATGGGGTGTCAAAAATTAATACTTAATGGTTCAAACACTAGCCATTTTTACTAAAGCCATCAGTCACTTCATATTACAACTTAGACCGCGAGAAGGAGACTCCTCTAGATAAACCTGCCTTGGCAGGGGGGTTGGACTAAATGATCTCCAGGGGTCCCTTCCAACCCTAACAATTCTGTGATTCTGTGAAATTGGTCACCTAAGTCATTCTTTAGTGAGAAGCACTCTCTGGAGATGTGAAACAAACCAGAAGCAATGCTAACCTCAAACTAACTGTCTGGCTATTTTGGATTCTCCTCATGCAGATAGCAGGCCCATGTTTTTCCAACATGGCCACTTGGGGCTCCATGGGAAGCTGGTAAAGTAGATACCAGGATCAATCCTCAGGGATCAATGCCAGGGGATATGAGGACATCTGTGGACAAATGTCACTGGCAATTGAGAGGGGGCAATCCCCAATTGCTCTTGTGCTGTGCACCCTTCCTGCACCCGGAACCTTGGTGCACAACACAAGAAACCACCACTCCGGTAGGCTGTACTTTTGATGAGCTTTCACATAGGAAAAAATAAAACTAGAGTAAAAAACTGAAGGTGCTTTCGGCATGCATTAAAGCCCTGGGATGCCACTGGGACCTGGTGTCCCACAGGCTTGCACTCACCAGAGGTGGCCATCAGGGTGGCAGCAGACCCTGTGACCATGGCTCCCAGAGGCAGGCCTCATCCCTGGGTACCTGCTGTTCTGCATGCAACAGGTGAACAGGCCTTCCTTGGTGAACGTGATGAAAACAGCCACGTTGCCCAATGTGTAGCTGACAAACAGTCAAGGAAAGGTGAGCCCACAGAAAACCCACATAAAGTAGGCTTTGGAAGAAAACCATCATGGGAGAGTGCCTAGGGAAAGTTACCCCAGCCTCCACCACCCTTAAGACAGCCACCCCCAAGACAGCCAGCTCTGTAGACCTCATTTCCTTGCAAGAGCAGCACGAGTTGTGCAGCCAGTCCAGGAGGCTGAGGGGAGTTATCTAAGGGAGGAGGGTCACAGTGACCCACCTCGAGGCAGGACATTCCTGCAGGTGTTCCCCGCACAAGTGTTGTTGCTGCTGGATACTAAACCTGACCATTTCCATCCTGGTACAGGAGGAAAAAACATCTGTCCCTCAGGATAACATTGTCTTATGGGCTCAGAAGAACAGCAGTGCTGCAGGAGCAAAACCGAGGTGGTGAGAGGCAGGAAGGGGTGTGGGGAAAGTGTGGTAGAGTTGTCTGCCTGAACATAGAGGATGGGGATGCTCTGCCCCAGGCTTTTTTTTCCCCATACTGGTACCAACCCCGGAACAGTGCCAGACCATCACACTCTGTGCTTTCAACGTAGCCTGGGTTTAGGATTTTTTTTATTTGTTTGTTTGCTTACTTTTTAATTAAACTCCTTCAAATAACCGAGGAAAATTCATCCTTCACTTCTGTGTTTTCACATTTCATATACAAAGCTCAGCTCTTCTTATGCTATGTTATTAGCTGCTCTCTGAGGATATAATTTGCTAAGGGCCCTCTTTCCATCAGACACACAAGTAATTTATCCTGCAAGGTACCAACAAGCAATATAGAAACATTTCTTTGCTAAGGGCTTAGCTCCCAGCGTTACAAGGGAGCTGGGTTTAATGCTGTCTAATAGAAATAAGCAGTGTTACCACCTGCTTCTCTGGGAAGAATGAAGAGCACCTAGGAGAGGGGAAAGCAAAGAGATCATCATTAATGCAGCAGCTAATTTTCACACGCAGAAAGGGACTGTGCTCAGGCTGTGTCTGTCTCAAGGACCCAAGGGACTTGTCTGCAGCAGCTCCCGGGTAGCTGCATTTTGTACACATGAAGTGTCTGACTCCAGCTGTAACTGTTGCACTAATTTATATATAACCTGAAGATGCACATTTTGGCTCTGCAGAATAGCTAAAAATCTCCTTCCTGGTTGTAAGGGATAGAGGGGAACAAAAAAGCAACAAACCGGAGATTTGTTCTTGCTTTTATTTTTCCGGCTTTTTGTGAGGCTAAAAAGACAAATAGTCCCAGGCAGGAGGATTTGCTACCCCTATACTTCAGGATGGGAGAGCAGTATAACGTGCTTCTATGTTGAAAATAAAAAAGCCAACAAACTCACTGATTGTGTGATAAATCACAGGTAATTTTCTTGCATACCGACAGAAACAGCAATGCTGGCTGGCTGGGGAGGGGAGAGGGGAGGCAGGGAGGGAAGAGAGTGCTGCAGGGTCCTGAGCTGTCAGGGGGATCCCATCCAGCCCCTAGCTGATGAGGCAGAAATCCAGTTATTGCTTGCCCTCCCAGGGTCACCGGGACTGGGACAACAAGCACTGGGGAGCTGCTTCTCTTGGCAGCTGGGTTGAGGGGACATTCCAGGACACACCATCCCTTGCTGGACACAGTGGTGATGTCCCTACTGATGAATTCAAGGCTGCTTGTATCCTATAAAGCTTTTGCCTGTGCTGTTAAACTCTTGGACTGGGGCTTGGCCTGGGACCAGGAGTACATCCCCTCCTGATTTCTAGCTGAGCAGCCTGGATCTGACCCCGCTAGGCAGTTTGGATGGAGCAGCCTTGTTTGGAGGGTAAGAGAGATGAATAGTATGGAAGTGAGTAGAGCCTGTTTTCCTGCCTTTAGGTCAAGTGGAGCTGCAGATGATGGGGGAAGGCATGTGTATGCACTTCCATAGTTGAGGTGAGTCCCAGCTTTTGGGATATCCTGCTTACACAGTTCATCACACGTGTGACTGGGAGCCCTGTCTTACTCCACCTGCATGTTGTGCCCCTGACTGCCACTCCAGTCTCTCAAGGGAAAACTCAGCTTGTGTGGCTGGAAGGACCAAATACTGCACACCACTTACACTGCTGATCCCTGCAGAGCCAGAAGACAGACCCTGCCCAAAGGGCTTAAAATAGGTCCAACCTGGAGACCTGAGTTGCACTTGGACTTTGTACTGCCCCTCAGAACTGGAGGCAAATTTCAGTGTGGACTGTTGCTTCCATGAAGATATGATGGCACTTGCAAGTCTAACCCCAAAGGATCGAAATGATGGGAGAAAAGAGGAAACAGCAACAAAGCATGGATAACTCAAGTGATGCAGAAAACCTTCTGCTATCTGGGAAAGCATCCCCATTTCTAAGAGGAAAGGGAAATGTTCTGTGTGACCCTGTGGCTGCAAGGTACACCACTGGACAGGAATGAGGAACCCTCCACCAGAGCAATTAACTTACCCTCCTGTTTTTTCCCTAGGTGAATTAATTTCATGCTCACCTCTGGTGCTGGAGTGATGCTGGACTCCTTTTGGCTACAAATAGCAGCAGCAACTGTCCAGCCTCTTTCCCTAAACAAGGATGCCCCCAGCAGAAAGTGCCCCTTGTTGTTGCTCCCCAACAATGATCCCTGCACTGCTACAAGGTGCTGCTTCCTGGGGAATATACACCACTGAAAAAGTGCTCATTGCTGGTGATCTCTGGTTTTTCTCACTAACTGACCAGCTGGGTCTCACCTTGCCTGTGCAGAGAGCAGTGACTCTCCATCATCCTCATGTTCTCCTCCCATGGATAGAGACTTCTCACCTGACTCTGGCATTGAACTCCCTTGGGTAAGCTCAACAGGCTCCCAGATCACTTTTTGCAAGGAAGAGTTGCCAGTTACCTCCTATTCATTCAACACAACTTTGTGTGCAGGGGTTTTCTCAGAGAAAAGCTTTGTCATCCATTGCTTCCACTCTGCCTCTTTTTCTTTTGCACACCTCTTTGTGCTTGAGTCTATCTTCCACTGCTCTGGTGGGAGAAGACACGCATCCCAGCAAGTGGCATCATCCCTCCCACCCTATCTGTGCAAGGGGAAAAGTAGTCATGCTGGTTAGGCACAATGCCATTTATTCCCAGAAATGCCAACTGCTCTCCAGTGACACCGCAAGAGCTTGGGAAACTGCATTTCTTCCTTCTCCTTGGGAGACATCACTTCATATTTGAGAGAGGAAGCTGCTAAATGAGCCTAAACATTGTTCTATGCTTTCAAAATATTCATAAATAATCTCAAAATAGCAGCAAGCAAAGAGAGGAGAAGTTTGCTGATGACATTGAGAGTGGTTGAGGCAAACGGTTGAATGTGAACAGTTGCAGAAAGACCCTCATAGCACTGAAAAAAAGGGTAATAAAATCACAGGTGAAATCTGATGTAGATAAATGTAAAGTGATGCGCATGGGAAAAGGCAATCCTAGCTTTACGTACAAAATAATGGGCTCTGAGCTGGCTATTTCCACTTGGGAGCAAAATCTTCAGGTTATAATAGATAACTCTATGCAAATGTCAACTCAAGACTCAGTAGCAATCAAAAAAGCAAACAGAAAACTAGAAATTATTAGAAAAGGAGGAGAGAGCAAAACAGGGGAAATCATTATGGTGCTGTATAAATCCGTGGACTTCCTTCTCTTGAATACCATTGTGCAGTCCTGATTCACTGATCTCAAATATGATACTGAAGAAATAGAAAAGTTATAGAGGAAGGTAATTGAAGATGATCAAAAGCACAAAAGGGCCTCCATTCAGGGAATGACTGAATAGATTAAGACTTTTTATCCTGGAAGAAAAAATGACTGAAGAAGAAATACGACCAAGTTTTCTGAAAGGAAGAGCAATGTGACTGGGGAACAGCTGTTCATATTATTCAGTGCTCTTCAAAGGAAGAGAGTGAACATCAAAGAAAATTATCAAGTGACAAGTTCAAAATAAACAAAGGAGATTTTTAGCTGTGACACTCCTTGCCATAGGGTACAGTGGATGTTTAAAATTTGTGTTGTTTCAATAGGGTGTAAGCTAATCGATGGAAGAGGAATCCATCAAGGGCTATTAAATGTAAAGCTGGCATCTACAGTTCAGGGTGTTCCTGAGTCACAGACCACTAGGGAAATGGAGAGTATTCTGGGAAGTATAAACAAAAGTTTGCTCTATTTTTGTATTACTTCCTGAGCATCTGCTGGGTCTCATCCAGGGCAGGATACTGGGCCAGGTGCATTTTGGGGGCTAACCCTATGCAGTCATCCCTATGTCTTGCATTTCACACCAGCCCATGTCTCCCACTAAGGCAAAGTGGCCTGACATGTCTGGTGCTATTGCATGTCACTGTTTCTGATTCAACTCCCTGCATCACAGAGGTAGAGCTGCTTGGTGGGTCTCCAGCCACCAAGGCTCTACACCAGGACCAGTTTTCAGTGTTACAAGTCTTCCACCAAGACCCACAGGCAGATGCATCCCATTTTCCTTTATCTCCCAAAGCAAAAGCTTTCTCTTGCATGGACAAGTGTTCTCTGCAGGTCCTCAGCTGGAGGCCAAGTTGTTCTGGAATGCAACCTTGTGCTCCATGCAGACCTCTCATGTGCATCTCACTTTGAAGTGAAAACGTGACCTGTTAGTGGCTGTGTCTCAGAACAAGGATGTTCTATGGCAGTCAGCTCACATTCTTCCAGCCTGGCCTAGATCACCCTGGATTTATCGTTCCAAGGCATCATGGAAAGAGAATGCCTGGTTATGAGCAACAGGAAATTGAGGGGAAAAAAAAATTCAGCAGTGGCTCTAATGGCCAGTCCAGACCTGAGTGATTCACTAAGATTTCCCCCAGTAAATTAAAAGCAAACACTCGAACGCTACACTGACACAGTATACAAGTGCCTCTTCTGGTTTAAACCTCACCACCTTAATGACAGAGACATTATTGTTCCTGTGCACTTTTCCAAGGTTGCCTTAAAAACCATGCCTTGACACTTTAGTGGCTAATGGACACAAACTAGGGTTAACCTCGCTCTGCACCTCTTTTCCAGCTAGAAATGAGAATGAGGGATAGTGGCTATTACAAGGTAATCGCACCCGGGGGAAATTCCTGAGCTCAAGTACCTCTGTTCCCCAGATAGGGTAATCTCATTGCATTTGGCTAGCCATTGGCAAAGCTTGTCAAGCCAGGCTGGCTTGTCACTCTCAGCATTTAGGAGCCTGTCCCATTTCTGGAGGCTGTTGCATCTCCCAGGCATCCTTGTGTTGACATCGCATGCTCAGTAATGTGGTGGTGAGGTTTATTTTCTGAAAACCTACCATTTTCACCTATAAAGCCTAATTTAAAGTAAATTCAAGTTCAAATTCTATTCTTATTGATATTTGTGCTATTTTCAGTAGCTCTGAAGGAGTACTGATGATACACATTGAAACGGGAGGACAGTCAGACATCTGTCCTCTCGATTGATCTGCAGGAGGGGGAGCACAAAAAGGCCCATTAAACACACTGAAGTAAATACTCTGATAGTGACTGTTATGGGAAAAAAATCCCCACCCACATTTCTTGCCCCTAGGTTTCTATTAGGAAGGAGGAATCCCTTCTTGGTTTGTCTCTAGAAGAAAGATGAGAGTCTTGGTTTTAAGTGGGAACTGCCAGTGGGCAAGGGTAGGAAACCCCAGGTCCTGACTGCAACCTGGGGAAACCAGGTGGCTTCCTCCTCTTCCTCTTCCCCAGGGTGGCCCCAGCACCAGAGCCACGATGATGAACTAGGGCAAACCCCAGTGCAGTTCCCATCATGAGGGCTGGCACTGTCCAGCCCATGCTGGAGGGAGTTTATAGCCACAGAAAGACAGAGCCCTGCCACCCCACGGCCATACACTCTGTGCATGGGCTGTTGGTGCAGCATCGCTGGCACAGGCTCCTCACTCCTGCAATGGCCTTATTTTAATATATTTGTGCTGAATAATACATATTTCCTGCGAAGAAAAGAGTGTATTTCTGTGCAGGGGGAACTTGGCAGCTCTGAATACTGAGCAGCCATTTCCTCAAAGCAGTAGGATTCAACCCCGTAATCAACCCTATTAGCATTAAAAGAACTGTCTAAATGTCAAGCCAAGTTCAATAAATAAGCACTAACACATTTAGAAATGGCTTAGAAAGGGGAACTAAAAGTTTTGCTGCTAATTATGTTTCTTGTTTTAGATTTTCTGTCAATTCTAGCTCTTCCATTCAAATGAG